TTGAAGACCAATTCATATTAGGATTGGACTATTTACTACCGAGAAAGTGTGTAGTTAACTTCAATAAAATGATGATTGGAAACAACAAAGGCCAAATTCCATTAAGTGTTGCTGAATCCACTGATATGTATGTCACAGCGCTTAAGTCAACTACAATACCCTCCTATGTCAGAGAAGATAATTTGAAGTAGGATAAAAGAACATCCCCGAGGAAGTCCAATGCTTGTGGAAGCAGTGGAAGACCCATCCAGTGGATTTGAAGATTGGAAGGTCACTTGTGGCAGGTCATCAAGTAGTACTTATAACTGTGTCCAATTTCTCTAAATGTGAGCAGACACTTAAGGAAGGGGCATTGTTGGGTGTGTGCCATGAGGTAGAGCCAGTCAATGTTAAACCAAGAAATACAACTATAAAGAAAGAACATACACTTCCAGAACATTTAACAGACCTCTATAAGAAGAGCATAGTCCATTTGTCATCATCACAGGCTCCTCGGGTTAGAGAACTTTTGGCGAATTATGCAGACGTCTTTTCGAAAGGAGATCATGACCTCGGCTGCACAGACCTTGTAGAGCACAGAATGAACACAAGCAATCACTGTCCAATAAAGATACCTCCAAGGAGAATAGCTCCAGCAAAGCGACAAGAGTTGGAGAAGGTCATGGATGTCCTAATTAAGGAAAGGATAGTTGAGAAGTCAGATAGTCCTTGGTCAGCTCCCATTGTGTTAGTCCAGAAGAAGGATGAGACCCAACGTTGCTGTGTGGACTTTAGAACTCTTAACAGTATAACTGAAAAAGACTCATATCCACTGCCAAGAATTGATGATACTCTTGATGCCCTAAGTGGAGCCAGGTGGTTTTCAACTCTGGACTTAAAGTCGGGTTTCCATCAAGTGAAAATGGCTGAAGCAGATAAACATAAGACTGATGATATTCGGGGGTTAGCAATGCTCCAGCAACATTAGAGAGGCTGGTGGAAAGAGTACTGGAAGGCCTACAATGGAGGATAGCCCTAGTGTAACTGGATGATTGTATTTGCAACAACGTTTGATGAGGAAATGTCCCGGCTAGAGGAAGTATTCAAGTGTTTGAAAGCAGCAAACCTCAAACTCCATCCCAAGAAATGCCACTTGTTCCAGAAAGAGGTGCTTTACTCAGGTCACATTGTAAGTGAGCATTGTGTGCAAACTGATTCTGATAAGGTGAAAGCAGAGCGTGATTGGCCAACACTAGACAATGTGGGAGAGTTAAGAAGTTTCTTGAGACTCTGTACCTATTACTGGAAGTTTGTGAAGGACTTTGCAAACTATAGCTGCTCCAT